CAAATGGGGATCTGGGACCAAACACGTCCGCTTTGGCCAGACAAGCGACTCGACAAATGAGATGAGCACAGCAATGGATAGGAACAACAAGCGAGCTGTAGGCTCCTCTGCTAAACGATAAAGCCTACCACCAACCTCATTTGCGATCGCCCCCTTATGCGCCCCGAGGCGGCCGTGTGTGCCACACCCTAGCCCATAAGAAGCAAGCGACTAATTACTTTGCCCATCCGCCATACCTTCCGGATACCACAGCAAAAACGCTCATGTCCGTAGCGGTGGCGCAAACAAGGAAAACGGTCGCCGTCTGGAGTCGGCCGACACGGCAGAGACAGAAACAAATTCGAGTGGATCTATATCATGACTTGAATGACCCACGCGCAGAGGTATCCGACGGCAGTTGAGCTCTCCTCGACTCAGAATCGTTCCACTCTCGCGAGCCCAATGTTACCGAGGCGTGGCCTGTGCCTAGGTAGGTTGCTTCAGAGATCTCCAGCTGGCCGGTAACCTGCGCATGATTGCGGTCTTGAAAGCTCAGCGGTTGTGGCCGAGGCGCTGCTACAAGTTGAATTCTCGGCTGAGAAGTCCGATCGACTGACGAGATGTACCTCCCTGCCCATTTAAGCCCATCACTGCCCACCTAAAAAACCTAGGTAGACATGCTCTGTCAACATGTCAAGAAGGGATGCACGGAAATTTCTTTACTTACGAACTTGCCGGTCGGCAACATGATGAACCATATACACTCCGAACCTGCGCCGAAAGTCCCATCTCCATACCCTTCGTGTTGTATTGTACGGAGATGTGCGCATCTGGAGTCGGGACAAAAAGAGGGTGGACAAAAAAAGAACGATATGGAGACTGTAGAGACACGCGAAACGATGAAAAACAAAAAGGCCGCATTCCGTCGTTCTCCGAGGTTTACCGCTACCATTCACCTCCACTCGTTGCTTATCATTTCGGGACGGCATACTGTTGTGTCCATTCGCGTGCGGTCTGGATAGCGGCTTGCTCGTTCTCCTTCCATGACTTTGCGACATCGGGGGCCAGCGGGTCGTCCGGGTTCGGAGCGCCGAGGAGGGCTTGGATGGAAAGCAGGATCGTTCGGATTTGCAGGGCAGGCGACCAGTTGTCTAGCAATGGACGGAGCCCTTGTCAGCAACGAGCCCTGGCGTGCGCGGGGGGAGCCGAGAGCAAGCCGATGGCTACTAACTTTTGAGGACATCGAGGCAGATACGGCCCAACTTGTCCACATTCGGGTGGAAAATCTTGGTAAGGAAGCGGATCTTAGGGGGCGTCATCGGGTAGTCGTCGGGAAGGAAAAGTTCGAGTTTAAATACGCCGCCTATGGTCGCGTGGGTTCCGTCATGTCAGAGAAAGGTTCACACAGGCGATATCGGGTCCGCACCATCATGCGGAGGAGGTCTGAGTGGAAGAGTTTTGCAACCAGCCAGACTTGTTGGGGGGTTCAGTCCTGGCGGCCGATGTGGCTGACCTTCATACGGGGACTGAGAAGGGCCGTGGATCTCGACGTCAAAGTAGCGGAGGTTATCTTCGTGTGGAATAGCACTGATGCCCGGGACACTATTGTGGTGGGCCAAGAGCGAGCGCGCTGGTCAGCTTCAGGGTCTCGAACGACTGTCGCGCGACCAGATGGGCATCATGGGAGCCCGCGACGCAAGGAGGGGGCGAGGTGTTGGCCGAGGCGCAGAAAATACATACGGCTCCGCCATCAGCCGCTCCGTCTCCTTGACGATCCTCTTGGGCAAGGCCATGGTTTGAGTTTTTGTGTGGTGTCTTTTCTCGCTCGTCGACCTTCTTCTCTAGAGCAGCACCAAGTACAGTCTAGCCGAACAAGCGAAACGTGGAATCGCAGCCAAATCTCAGTCGCCAAAAAACGCCTTGCAGTGCAGGTTTGGTGATGTTTTTTCGCCAGTCTAAAGCGGGAGGATGTTTTGCGGACATGCGTGGTGGGGGTTGAAGTGGGCGCCTGACGTGAGTCGTTGGGAAAGCGCTGTTGTGCGCCCACCCTGTGACGGCGAGCGACGAGCGGCGGGCGGGCGGCTGCAGGTGATAAGATAAGGCGCCGGCAGGGGCTCAGTTACAGGTGACGCAAGGCCTCGCCCCACATAAATACCACCTAGCGTCGCCCAGTTTGGATGAAGGTTTGGGCGACAATTGTGCGGAGTTATCTTGGACGGTGCTTCAGGCAGCCAAGGGCAAAAGAAGGTACGAACCGAGGATGCGTGTAGTGTTAGAATAGAGGCGGAGAATCGCGATAAATACGACAAAGGGTTGATAGAGAATGTGGATGGAGGGGAGTTCAGGGAATCTGACCGAACTACTTGAAGCTGCCGAGGTCATTGATCCAACAGGAGAGCTCCACTTCAGCCCAGCCCCAGTCCGTCGCGATCAAATTGAGCTCCACGCGCGTGGTTGACTTTGGCATCTAGATTGCAGCCAAGGGAGGGTCTCCAAGTCCAGCACTCTCTATCAGTCCACGCGCCGCATCACAGCTGGCCAGCACGCCATTTTGAGAGGGACGACGGCGCCAACAGCTCAAATGAGCAGGGTACATACTTGGTAACGATTCGGAGCCCGTGCCGAGCCTTGCGTGAATGATGACGGGAGTTTTGTTTCGCCCACCCCCTTGCGCCCCTCGAAGATGCCTTTGGCATATGAACAGCAAAAAGAGCCCCTGAAAAAGGGCAAGTCCATCAAGTCGGCCTTTGAGAGCGAGAGCTACGATGCCGACTGGACGATCCACGTCGAAGGCCTGGTGGGTTCGGCCACCATCTCGCCGTCGGGTCGAGACGTCGCCCTCGCATCGTGAGTAGCACGCGCAACTAGGACCAGTGTCACAGTCGAGCCACGTGTCGAGCATGCGCTGATTTCCCGTAGACCCGAGGGGCTGGCCATCATCGACCTAGACTCTCCCTACAGCCCGCCGCGACGGCTCAGCAGCCGTGGGCTGCCGTGGCTGGTGGTGGACGTACAGTGGTCGCCCTTTGCCGCACGCGACTACTGGGTCGCGTCAACGGCCAACCACCGCTGTCTGGTCTGGAACCTGAACTTTCGGGATGACTCGGCCTCGGGACCCATCGAGCACTCGCTGCAGGGCCACAGCAGGGCCATTACCGACATCAACTTCTCGGCTCATCACCCGGATCTGCTGGCCACGTGCGCCGTCGACGGCTATGTCCACAACTGGGATCTGCGCCGCCCCCGACAGCCGGCTCTCAGCTTTTGTGACTGGACCGCTGGCGCCACACAGGTTAAATACAGTCGCCAGGACCCTTTCACCCTGGCCTCGTCTCACGACCGTCTCTTGCATATATGGGACAACAGGAAACCCACGGAGCCCGTCAAGACTCTCACGGCCCACTCTTCCAAGATCTACGGCTTGGATTGGAACCGCACACGGCCAACTGCGCTCGTCACCTGCTCGCTGGATAAGAGCATCAAATTTTGGGACTACAGTCGCGATGGGGAGGAGCTCGAGCGTGTCATACGTACTGGCTTCCCCGTCTGGCGCGCCCGCCATACCCCCTTCGGCTGGGGCGTGCTCGCCATGCCCCAGAACGAGCCAGGTCATCTGCATCTCTATGATGGCCGCTGCGACGGGGACGTGCCGCATGACGACCGCGCCGTGCCTGTCGCCATATTCGACGCCCACGGGAGCCACAAGGCCAAAGAGTTCCTCTGGAGGGGTCGTGGTGGCGTCGACGATGCTGGCCTCGACAGTCGCGACTTTCAGCTAGTGTCCTGGGGCGAGGACAAGGAGCTTCGGCTGCAGAGGGTCGAAGATGACGTGTTGGCGTCTGTCGGCTACCGCAAGGGCCAGCCCGCACCGAGCGGGCTCATAATCACGCGCAAGGGTGCGACGTACAAAACGTTTCGGACGGTAGACGACGGCGTGCACCGTGAGAGGCGGAGCGCGACCATGTCGGACCCTCGACCGAGCAGCAGCAACCTGGTCCGCCGCAGCGCCCTCACTACCGGTATCCGTACGCCCTACTACAAGACAGTCACGAAGTGGCGGCCGCCATCCATGAAGGCCAAGACGACATCCAAGGATGCGGACAGGGGACTTGCGCAGATTGGATGGATGAGGGGCGTGACGATGAACAAGCGCAAGGCCCCTTTCGAACCACCCAAAAGGGAGGGGTCCTTGACCAAGGATGGCTCCATTTTCGAGTCGGACTATCAAGACAGCGAATGGGCCGAGCCTGAAACGATACAGGACGAGTTTGTCCGTATCAGCAGCCAGCTTCCCAACGTGAAATGGGGGGATATTGACATGGATAGGCTCGTGATAAATGCGAGCCTCAAGGGCCCATGGGGCGTGGGTGGGGAGAGCATATTCATCAAGGTCAATGTCGACATTCCGAGCGCCTACCCCAAGACCAAGCCGCCAAAATTTCTCATCGAAAAGAGCTCTTTCATGGCCGATGAAACGCATGCGAAACTGGAACGGGAAGTACAGGAGCTGGCGAGCCGGCTCGTTCAGTGCAAGAAGAACTGCCTAGACGCGGCATTCTCATATCTTCTGGGCGAGGTTGATCTCGAGACGAGCACGACCTTGTTTAGAAACGTCCGGGATCTGGATGATGATATTAGCGGCATCGCCGACGAGAGTTCCAGTGATGATGACGACGATGGTGAGATCCCGCCCGGGGGGTCGGCCTCCATGTCCCAGGAGCTACCAGAGGTGACAGCAGGGGGTGCCGAAATCCCGACGGTTCTCGGCGGTGGGTTCCGTCAAACGGTGATCCCGGTAAAGCGCACTTGTGGTGCCCGCTTCTCCAATGACGGCAAGCTCGCCTGCTTCTTTCCATCCAAGGAGGAGAAGGCCAAGCTGCTCTTCGTGTCGGCCGAGTCGGCCAAAGAGAAAACCAAAGGCGAGCCACGGTTCGCAGGCTTTGGGCGTCTGGCCCATGACTCCCCGCCACCTCGGCAGCGGCACCGTGACGAGGAGGCTTCGGCAACAGAGGACGCATCTGGAGGCTCGGGCGACTCGGACGGCTCGTCGTCTTCATCCTCGACCGACTCGGAGATAGAGACGGCGAACCGAATCAGTTTCTGGTATAGGCCGGGCCGCAAATTTAGGAAAACTTGGAGCACCAACGACGGGTCCGTTCGCTCCAGCGGCGGGGGCACCGGGACGGGGACATGCACGGGAACGGGGCTCGGCATCGGAAGGAGGCGTGGGGTCAGGTCCAAGAACATAGTCTCGGTTCGCGACATGCGGAATTTGCTCCCGTCCAAGCGCGAGTTTGCCCAGGAGTATGCGATATTTGGCAACGGAACCGAGGTGTGCGAACACAACGCGCGGGTTGCTGAGAAGTACGGCTATCACGACCTCGTCGACATCTGGCGGTACTCGGCCCTGCTACTACGTTCGGATATACCACTGCGGCTTGCCGAGCAGGCCCCTAGGCGCAGGTCGGTTCTCGTCATCGCACGCGACGCTGTCTCGAGGTTCCATCAGAGCGCGACAACCGACGACGGCGGCTTCCTTGGGACAGTCAAGTGGGGCCGCCACCCGCTTGCCCACGACTTCATCACAGATCTATTTGACTATTTCGAGCGGCTCGCCGACATCCAGATGCTGGCTATGCTTTCGTGCATCTTTGGCGCGTCGTCGGCCGAGGATAGCGTGGCGTACGCAGAGTCGCATCTCACGCAGCCGCAGACGCCCCTGCCCATGAAGGCACCCTCCTTTTCGCTCGAGTACTTTCCTACCAACCCAGAGCTCTGGCAGAACTGGCAAAAAAACAAAAGCCAAGCGAGCTCTGCCATCACCACACCGCGCACTTCCCACACCCCCAACGTCTACTCCAGCTCGGTGAACTCGGAAGAGGCGGGCGTCTGGACGGGTGACGCAGAGTCAAACTCGCATTCCTGCGGCGAGCCGTCGCCTTTGCACCTGAGGTCTGGCCGCGAGCATCCAGGCGAGACTGACCAGACGCAGAGCCTGTCAACATCTCCCAGCAGCCGCGCCTTCCGGCGAGCCAACTCGGCCGTGGCGTCGGCGCTGGCCGCCAGCCTGCCCCGAACGCTCCAGGGGATGGTGTCTTCGTCGCCCCCTGAGCCGCCACCAGCCACACGCAAGCGACCCAGCCCGGCAGAGGCCATTTTTGGGGGTTTCGGACCGGCCGTGACCTGGGGCGCATCGACCGTGTTTGGCGCATCGTCTACGGACGTCACTGCACCCCCGTCTACGCGCGCGCCATCTATAGTGGAGGAACGGCGCAGCAAGGACGAAGCGGTCATGGCGACGCTTATAGCCGTGGACGTGTCTGTTAAGCTGTGCAACGAGCGACAGTTTGACGATGACGGTTGGATGATGGCGCCCTTCCTCGAGCCAGACCGCAGCACACTTTACGCGAGCTACCGATATGCATACGCCGAGATGCTCCAGATCTGGGGTCAGCCGCTGGCCCGACTGGAGATAATGAAGTTCAACGTACTGAACGGGGATGGCGCTGGGCTGGAGAATTCGGGTCTGTTTAGCCTCGACGACAACAACTCGGACGGCGGCGGCGGCAGCTTCCATGAAAACATTCATATAACGCGCAAAGGTGCAACGGGGAGCACGGGCACTTCGTCACCCACCTTGCTGGTGGGCAAACGGGAATACCTCGAGGCAGTTTTGACGTCTGGGCGAGGACTCGACGTGACGGGTATATGCAGGATACACGAAACGAACCTGGAGTCGCTTCAGAGCACGGGACGGCCTCTGCCCCGGCACTTCGGCTCGACGCTGGGGGCTACGGCCCCCAGCAGCCATGCCTCGTCCTCGGCAACACCCGTCGGGCCGAGTGGCGCCTCGGTCAGCGCGGGTGGCGGAACGATGCGAGACGGTGGGGGCCCTGCTGCAATGACCACCATAGGCGGTGCGGTGGGGACGTGTGATCGGTGCCACACTCTGCAGGCGCAGCTTCGGTGCGTGTTCTGTGCCGAGCCCGTGGCGGCGCTGTACCCGGCCTGCCTGGGATGCGGCTGCCCGAGCCACGAGAGCTGCCTTGGCGAGTGGCACGCGGCGGGCGAGCGCATGTGCCCGGCCGGCGACGAGTGCGACTGCGCGGCCGAGGCTTCGCGCGGCACCGTCGAGAGCTGGACTGCTATCCAGTCGGCACTCGCGGCTGCGCGCGCCGTCTCGGCCTCGTACCACCACAACCAACACCTGGCCGCGGGCGAGGGCGGCGGCGCGGGCCGGGCGACGAAGCGGGGCGCAGGGGGCGGGAGGGTCGTGCGGATAAACACGGGCGCGCCCGAGGCGAGGGTCAAGGTGCACGGCCCCCCGCCGGCGTCCCCCAACGTAGCGCGGCCCAGGCGGCGGTCGACACCGGGCCACATCCCCTTCGGCGGCTCCGGCGGTGGCGGCGGCGGCGGCGGGGGCAGCTGGGCCAGGACCGAGGGGCGAAAGCGCTGTGGTAGCCGACGTCGGCGGTGGCGGCGGCGGTGCCGTCGCGAGGGACGTGCTCACCATGGCCACGGCGGCTGCAGCGGCGGCCTCGCCCCTCGGCGGCGTGAG